AATTTTCAATCATTTAAACTATCTGTTGATTCAAGTAATGGTGGTGTTGGAGCAGTATTGATTCAAGAAGACAAAAATGGTTTAGACTATCCATTGTGATATTTTTATGAGAAATTAAATAAGTACCACATAAATCATTCCACATTTGAGAAGGAATTTTCAGCTTTGATATTGGCATTACAACAATTTGAAGCCTATTTTAGTTTTTAGTGATCACAACCCCATTACTTTCATCAGCAAGATCAAAAAGAAAAATCTCTGGTTATTAAGGTAGTTTATTGCAGGAATATAATACTGACATCAGGCACATCAAGGAAAAAGAATTTAATAGCAGATGCGCTTTCATGTGTATAGGAGTATATTTGACTTACAGTAAAAAGAAAGCTTTATTGTAACAATCTTTTTTCCTGCGAGGGGAAGTGTAAATTATATTTTATTATATGCTATTGTATCCTGGGCTTGAATTTGTCCAAAAGAGTTAATTTCTGCTTGACCAGATTGCCTTTTTAAAAATTTTTTATTTCATTTTATGTCTACAATACATAGCTAAATTATTGTTTATGGACTTAATATCAGGATCTTTATTAATAGAAGTAAATACGTTTATTTGAGTCAGGGTTTTGAAATTTTAAAGGTTATGGTTTTCATTATTTTTCAATCCGTTAGGTAAGCTTTTTTTGGATAATGCTAATTGTGACCCAAGGTCAAGTAGAGAACTCTATAATCCTGTGATTGCAAGGTCTTGATCATTTGTGCTTAAACATCTAGGATTTTCAAGTTGTATTGTTTTGACCAGTTTTGAGCTGAATTTTATTTTCTTCAAATTACTGAATTAAAGTATTTTCTCTGCAAATACAAAAGTGCTCTGATAAAATTCTTGGATTTAGACATTTCACTGAATTCAAACTTTGATCTTACTGTGATTCCACAAGACTGTTGACACATCTGCACTCCACCAGCTATAAAAGACATATTGCCTTCAGTGTTGGATTTATTTAGAATTTGTATTCAGTTTTATTCAGGACTTTATTAGAACGTGTCTGTAATTGTTGGATGTAACTCACAATGTTTTTTTTTTCATTTTCACTTTGTTTTCTTGGAAAATTAAACTAAAATTTTACAAAGCTTGTTGTCTTTCACCCTTTTCTGTTACCTATTTTAAGAACATAGACTTGTAAGAGTATAGAAGACAGACATGAGCCGAGTACATTCATTTCACAATAGCTAAAAGATCTACAATGTGAATTTATGTGAAAAGACAGGTTACATTTTCCCTGGAGATTCTGATGCATGGAATCAAATGGCTGGAATAGATGGGACATTCCTGGAACAAGCCACTGCTCAAGACTGACCTAGATGGCAGAAGATAGTTGCAGGCTTATGTACCAGATAGGACAAAAAGGGCAACTCACTTAGAATATGGGAGGGGATCAATAAAGATTTAGAGGGGCTCAAGTTAAAAAAAAAATTGCTCTTTGACAGCTTTAAAATGAAACAAACAAAATTAAATACAAATTATGCAGGAATCTTTATTATATAATATAATAAACATAAATGACTGACATGTATCAAAATGCAGATCTTGAGTAATAAAATAAATTCACATTTCAATGAATGAAAACAAATATGCAAACTGAGTTAGTTTAAAAATAAACCATTAAATCTGAGAAAATTTCTATGGGTAATTTTTGCAAATTGAAATACTATAATGGTGCAAAATGTTGCCAATGTTTAATATATCTGCTTAAATTTTTTTTTGAAAATTCTTTACTATACAATTATTTAAAAAATATACCTGTATTCAAGCCGGTATGATATTTAGGTGTCTACATCAGGGAATAGGCTTTGTACAGGTATTAAATTTTCTCACCTATGCACAATGGTAAATCCGTAATGTACACAGGTCAAGAATATGAGCATCTGCATAAAAAGAAAGTGGATACTAAATAATTGAAATTGCATATAGGCAAGTGAATTGTCTGCCTGTACTGTCAGAAACACTGGAGTATCAATTATAGTAATTACATTTATGAACTGGAAAGCAAATAATCAATTCTAATATCTTACCCACAGAAAGGCCAATTACTGATAAAATGCAGAAAAAATCACAGAAGCATCAATTCAAAAAGATGTATAAACTGGATGTTACTGTATAAATCTTGTATAGAAAACTTACCTGTACTTATCTGACCATGACAGAAGTATCATTATTAATACTGTACAAAGCTGGTGCTATAATATCCCTTATGAGACAATGGTCCAATGATATAAAGGTAAAAGCAGTAAAGCATCACATATACACTATGCAATAACACTAAGAAAAAATAATAGAAACTGTATGTATCCCAACTCTGGCAGAAATTATCCACCAATAAGAGCTTTCTATATCATGTTCCAGACATGATCTTGTAGCAATGAGAGGGGATGTCTTTGCTGCGACCTGTGCAGGTATGTACCAAAGGCACCCTATTGTGTTGAACTAGCAAAGTGAAACATAGAAAATTAGGAAACTTTGTCAGTGGAAGGAAGAACAGAAAAGTTGGAAATTTATAGCTAGAATGTCCCTTTAAAGATGAGACTCCTGCCACCCTGTTTGTGGTAGAAAACTTCCAAACTGCTTGTATGGATTTTGCGAGGCCTCAAGCAGAAACAACCACTGTTCCAAGGGGAGAGATCACTCTGCCAGACTGCCACCCAACACTGCTTTTAGCTAAATGTTTTTAGCCTGGAATGGCTGGATTTTCAAGATAGTTTGATAGTTTTAGTTCTCCTAAGGTATTGTGATTTGTAAACTGATCCCAGAAAAATAAATTAATACAGTAGTTCCATCTGCACTGGGGAAAGTGGCCTTATTAGTATAAGGCAGGTGGGCTTTCCAGAGGGGGACTTTTGTGAGAAATATATGGTAATGTATGTAGTAAGAAAATTATATTTTTCAAAGCATTTAATATCTTTGTTTAAAAGTAACATTAATAATTGAATGGTTCTTGTTATAATCGACTTATTTCAACTGAATATGCATTAATAGTTAAGTCTTGGTGTAAGATTACCCACTGCTGCTGAATAACTTCCTTATTGGTTATGATATTGTTTATTCAAGTCTTTTCAACATAAAATAGAATTGTTTGGCAAGTTCCCCACCTCCACCAATTTTGTTGACTATAATAACCAACTTTATCTGAAATAATTGTCTCCATTTATGTGATGACATGTTAATGTTTGGTAATTATTTATTTGGATGTTACTAACTGTAGGTTATTTAATTATGCAGACAAAACATTTGTAGAGCGGGTGAAATGCCTTCTTCATAAAGGAAGTGACAAGTGTGTTGTCACATGATTTTTCAGTTGTTGTCTGGTACCCTGTTTTGTTCTACTATTAGCCAATCTTGATCCTGTGATCTTGACAATTACCTCCAGTTATAAGCATCAACATTGCTATCTACAAGACTGATAAAACAAGTGTTTTTAAAAGCAGCAATTGTCACATGATTCATTAGTCTGGTACCCTATTTTTATTACATTTCTTGACACTAAGTGAGAGAAGCCAAAATGACTTCTATATGTATGCAGATTTGATCTGAACAATAGCACCTGGTGGACCTTAGGATTTGTAAATTTTACAATTATTGTCAATAGTAATAGCAACTAATTATGTGAAAAAGCTCAACATCTTACTAAGGGAAGCTATCAAACCATTTTCCCAATTTCTTGTGTATTCTACATCAATGCTGCCACTTCTCAGCTGTTCAATAATTGTAATCTTAACAATTATCAGTGGCTAAACTGGACATCCTATGACAACATAGCAGTAAGGATAATTGGTTTATATGTACTTAACCTTTTTTATGGATTAAAATTTGAGACTCTCAGCTTTATGGAATAAATGTGGCTTCTCTGAGGTGTATATGATATAAAATAAACATTAGTGGCACATGTACATTAGTCAACACTTCTTTCAAGAACTTAAACCTGCCATGGGGTTAACAGAAATTGGATTACCTAATACTGTGAATGAAATTGATTATGGATACATATTACAAAATAAAATGCAGCTGGCTGCTTGTGAGGGGTAAATTTTATATTATTGCACAAATATGCTGAACTGTCATGTTAGCCAAGTGGCCTTTCGTAAGGGGTAATTTTGAACACAAATTCGTCGGACTCTGGCTGTAAGGAGGAGTGGCCACTGGTGAGGGGGGCCCTTCAAGAGAAGGGAATACTGTTACATGTACATTTGATAAATAGGTTGAGTCCAACTGCAAACAATGTACTTCCTGATACCTTCTTGTGATCAGTAACTGTATCAGGCATAAACAAGTCATTATAGGAATCACTTGAAATCAATACCAAAATGAACTATAAGATTTAGCACCTGTTGTAAACTTTATGACTGCATCAAAGGCACACCATCAAAAATTTGTGTACTTCAGAAAGGTTACTGGATCAAAAATGTTAATTAAAAACAGTCAGTGAAGAATTGCACTGCCTTTTTTAAAGATGAAATAATATTCTTATGACATTACTGGTAGATGACATTTCAACAAGTTTTTATAAAAAAAGAGGTGGTCCCAGGGGGAGAAAAACATATGGCACCAAATAAACATGTTCTGAAAAAGGTATCATGAAGACATCTTTACATGCATAGAAGCCTGTTTCATACCATCATGTTATAGTGCATACAGACCTAAACCTTTGCTCTATATACTGCACTGTGTCTGTAATAAACATGGCCACCTTTTTTCTGCATCAATCTGAACAAAGTGGATCCCAAACTTTTGACTATGCAGTGAATGGGAAAAAGCAGCTGTTGTAGGTTTTTATATAATGTGATAATGGTCTCGGTATTAATAAAAAATTTTGAATTACATGAATGGAATTTTTTGTCCCACCCTGTCACATTATCCTGATACCAGGCCGACCAGTCCTAATACTAACCTCTCAAACAAAGCTGAGTGCCTTGTGAGGCAGCTTAAGTACTATTTTTATAAGTCTTTGATATAACTCAGCCAGGGTTTGAACCTTAGTCCTCTCACATCCTAAGCAGATGCTCTAACCACTAGGCTTCCAGAGCTATATAGAAAAAAGGAAAGTTTACTGAATAAGATAACAAGCTGAGAACATATCAGAAGCACCAGACACACAAGGAATAAGTAAACACCAATAACAAAAGAGAATAAAGAAAATCAGAGTACTTGCAAATTAACCTATAATTTGTTCCATTTCAGTTTACTGTATATACTCCCAATAATAAAGAGAACATACACTAAAGCTTGTTCAAAGGAAAGCTACAAAATCAACAAACCTGAACTGATTTAACATGAATAATTAGATTTTTATGCAAAACAAGTAGATATTTTGTTCTTAATTATCTGCAGCATAAAAATGGAAAGTAAACATTTCCAATTATTAAAATATGGTCACATATATTACACTTTCTTCTGCTGGAGAGAAGACTTAAAAGATGAGCATAATGTTTAAACACATAAAAATCACAAGGTCTAATGAATGATTACAAGATGACAGCCTCCAGAGACTACTCAAATGGCCTAAGTGGTTAATGCATCTCCTCAGATGCAAGAGGTCACCGGATCTAACCCTACCAAGTCATACCAAAGACTTACAAAAATGAAAAATGTACTAGCAGCTCCCTCAGTATTAAGAAGACAGCATTAGGACTGATCGGCTGGTGTCATGGTTATATGACCGGGTGGGACATGATAATACATGTCTGTGGCATGATTCCCAAGTGTTAGATATCACTATAAACTGCCACACTGTAGACATCATAGCAATACAATTAAAAAATTGTTACAACTATTTTAAAATCAAGTGCCATACCTTTTCTGAAAATCTGTTATGAAGGAAAATGATGGAAATTTTCAGCTAGTTTTAGTGAGCTCCTGATTAGAGAAACTTCAAATCCAACATTCTGAAGATGCTCCATTTTCCAAAATTACAAATCAAACTGGCCAATTGACAATTTAATGGTGTTTGTCACATAAAACCATGGAGAACCTGTGTATATTAAGTGGAATTATTTCTGGTTCATCAACCTGCTAGTTAGTATATTTTTAAATTTGAAAAAATCTAAAAAAAGGCAAGTAAAAAAAATCCCGATTTTACTTTATTTTTAAAAAAAATCATCATATTCCTAAATATACAAAGACAATCCAAAGGAATTGGGCAAATTGTTGATGTTTGATTAAATTTCTTTCAATTGTAATTTGTATAGAGTTATTAGAACTTCAGAAAGGCAAAAGCAATATGGAAAATTCTTAAAATCTTCTTTGGTGAGTGAACATTTAGATTAAAACTATATATAATCCATTTAATGTTTCACAATATTGTTACTCAATAAATTATTCATTAAATAATTTAAAACTTAATAACAGTTGTGAAATTTTGCATAAAATAATAATCAATAATTATCTAAATCCAGAAAACCTCTTTAAATAAATGTTAATAATATTGCACCTTGTTATATAAATACAAAACTGCCCATCTCCTCTGTCCACCATGACAATTAAAGTCAAAGAAAGTATTCTGTGACAGCAGAATTTGGCATAGAGAAGTAAATCTGTAACAGTGGTACTTGGAGTAGAAAAGCAATCTGTGACTGGTAGTTGGCATAGGAAAGCAATATGTAACAATGGCGCTTGGCATAGGAAAGCATCTGTGACACTGGTTGTTGGCATAGGAAAGCAATCTGTGACAGTGGTGCATGGCATAGGAAATAAATCTCTAAGGGTGGTATATCAAATATCTAGCCAAAGGAGATCAAAAAGAATTTGGTTAGGAATGTGTGACACTGATGTCCCTGACTTTTAAAGTCCTGATTTAAGTCTTCATCTGATTAGATAACATCAATTTGGTAAATTTAACAACATACAGAAAGTTCCACTTTGCAAACATTAGGATAAGTTTGACATGTGTCCTAAACTGGGGGAAAAAAGCTGAAATCTTTATTAAAATGCCCCCACCCATTTTTTTATATATACACAAATCAATAATTCAAGGACAAGATAAAAGCTGATGATGATTCTAACCGAATGTTTCTATAATAAATCTGAAGTCTTTCACCATGTTTTCAATGTATTGGGGTATGCCAATATTTGGTAAAAATAACAGCATAAAAATAATTGTGCAGTTAAGAACAAAATTATGTTATTCCAGTCTTCTCCATTTCCTGGACCACAAAATCCACATTCAATCCCATCAGTCGTCTGCACTCCTGGAAAAGAGGAAAGGTAGCAGTGAACAATAAAATCGTGCTTATCAAACCTGTTCAACTCTTATTTTAAAGAAAAACGTACGCAGATGTACGATTAACATGATTTTCAAAGTTTAAGTGTATGTAGATTAACAAATAATTAAGTTTTGGTTTGGTGTTTTACAACAGATCAATAAAAGCAGGTCATTTAGTGCCAAGGAAATTGGAGCAAAGTGCTTGGCCAAGGGTACTGACCCAGACTCATCCATTGGTCAGCTCCTAATTTGCACTCTTTCAGTCATGAGCCTAGTCATGCCAACCACTGAGCCACTTCAGTTCCTGTCTCCAATAGTAATTTTGTACAACTCGTGGGAGGGTGCATTGGGTTTATTTTACATCCCCAAACCTGCATGTGAGTGGATACAACAGATAACCAAGAGAATCTTGCTGGGAATGACACTTTAGAGGCATAAGAAAACTTCAAGGAATTCAAGATAAGACCATTTCTTCCTTTTAACTGCAAAGTACAGAAACCATCTCTGATATTCCTCAGCAATAAAAAGATTATAAAGTAGTGTATTAATGAAACACCATGCCGGTATGACCATCCATTCAGGATTATTTGTGATAATAAGATTATAAAGTAGCATATTAATGAAACACCATGCTGGTATGACCATCCATTCAGGATTATTTGTGATAATAAGATTATAAAGTAGCATATTAATGAAACACCATGCTGGTATGACCATCCATTCAGGATTATTTGTGATAATAATGTTTTAAAGATGACCACTGTGAAAGAAATACTGGATGCCCAAGTGACACCACTTTCCTTTATAACCAAATTAAAACTTGGGATGAATGTGTGCATAAAGTATGAAGATATTCATTCTAGGGAGAAATATGAATAACAAACTTCTATGAATGACAGATGTATCACAGACAGCAGATTGTTCCTTAAGCTCTATCATCAATAAAGATAATACAATGAAATCCTGATAATCTGGATGGTTTAAAGGGATAAACAAGGGATGATAAACCTCTTCCCAGAAATTCTGTTTCAAGTCCAAATGTCTTGATGGTCTGCAACTTCAGAAAAAAGTTTTAAATCATGAAATTTTCAGGATTGTCAACTTGGTTCCCTCTTGATTACACAGTTTCAATGGTTTCAATGGCGAAGATGTACCTGATGTATTACATTAGATTTGGGTGTTTTGAGCTTCAGCACTGTCATTATGTTGAAAGAGTTTAGAAAATACAGGACAAGTAGAGTGCCTAACATGGCTTCAAGATCAGTAATTAGATGATAGACAACGAGATACAGGTGTAGACAAACAGAGAGAACATGCATAATACCAAGGTAAACTGAATGGATGTAAATGATACTGCATTTAATAAAAGTACCAAATGGCTTCCTAGTATGAAAATTAAATATAAAAGTAAACAAAGATAGTATAGGAACATTAAATGCTTTTGTTTCTTGAAGAAATCTTTATTTTGCAATACATAAAAAATTTTTGCACCATTAAAAAAACGTCATTATAAATAATGAAATGACTTTCCTTCTGCTGGAATTTACCACATGTACAACTGGTCAAGCTTATTTTGAGCTGCAAAAATTGCTGAAAGTGCTGCAACCAGATTAAAATATTTATAATTTTTAGTCCTGGACAATTATTAAATTAAACATAAATATAAACATACTTCATTAAACATACATTCTTAAGGGAAAAGGTATTTGACTGGACATCTGGAAACAAACATGAAGCAATCAGTATAGGTTTAAAATATTGTATTTATGAGGCAAGTTATCATGCAATTTAGGCTTATTCAAAGCTACCCTAGCTGATGCAAGGCAAGTTATCATGCAATTTAGGCTTATTCAAAGCTACCCTAGCTGATGCAATGCAAGTTATCATGCAATTTAGGCTTATTCAAAGCTACCCTAGCTGATGCAATGCAAGTTATCATGCAATTTAGGCTTATTCAAAGCTACCCTAGCTGATGTAAGGCATGTTATCATGCAATTTAGGCTTTTTCAAAGCTACCCTAGCTGATGTAAGCCATGTTATCATGCAATTTAGGCTTATTCAAAGCTACCCTAGCTGATGCAAGGCATGTTATCATGCAATTTAGGCTTATTCAAAGCTACCCTAGCTGATGTAAGGCATGTTATCATGCAATTTAGGCTTTTTCAAAGCTACCCTAGCTGATGTAAGCCATGTTATCATGCAATTTAGGCTTATTCAAAGCTACCCTAGCTGATGCAAGGCATGTTATCATGCAATTTAGGCTTTTTCAAAGCTACCCTAGCTGATGTAAGGTATGTTATCATGCAATTTAGGCTTATTCAAAGCTACCCTAGCTGATGCAAGGCATGTTATCATGCAATTTAGGCTTATTCAAAGCTACCCTAGCTGATGCAATGCAAGTTATCATGCAATTGAGGCTTATTCAAAGCTACCCTAGCTGATGCAAGGCAAGTTATCATGCAATTTAGGCTTTTTCAAAGCTACCCTAGCTGATGTAAGGCATGTTATCATGCAATTTAGGCTTATTCAAAGCTACCCTAGCTGATGCAAGGGATGGTATCATGCAATTTAGGCTTATTCAAAGCTACCCTAGCTGATGTAAGGCATGTTATCATGCAATTTAGGCTTTTTCAAAGCTACCCTAGCTGATGCAAGGCATGTTATCATGCAATTTAGGCTTATTCAAAGCTACCCTAGCTGATGCAAGGCATGTTATCATGCAATTTAGGCTTATTCAAAGCTACCCTAGCTGATGTAAGGCATGTTATCATGCAATTTAGGCTTATTTAAAGCTACCCTAGCTGATCTAAGGCATGTTATCATGCAA